TGCTTTTCGCCGCGGCCTCTTTAAAAATTCACAAGTCGAGAATAAAAAATCCGACGAACTTGCGGTTTGTGGTGACTGCGATTTTAGAAACGGCGCCATAACATATATTTTTTTCATCGAAATTAAAAATTCGACCCTTTTTGCCTGCACGATTTGAGATGAAACCACCCATATATATATATATATATATGTGTGTGTGTGTATTTGTGTGTGTGTGTGTGCGTGTGCGTGTGCGTGTGCGTGTGCGTGTGTGTGTGTGTGTGCGTGTGCGTGTGTGTGTGTGTGTGCGTGTGTGTGCGCGTGTCTGTAGTCATGTCTCGTTAATGTAGACCCTGTTAATATTAATACCCCGCTATATCGACACCATTTTCGGGTACAAACAGAAAATATTTGCATGTTTTTCTCATTGTTATAAACAACTCGCATCATAGGCGATTCTTCGAGGAAAGGGAGGTGTCCATATCGCTGTATATAAATTAATAAAATATTTAGGCTCTAAGTCCATAACCAATGACCGAAAAGATTATGGATTTCGTGTTTGCCGAAGTTTGTTGACGGTTCGGCCGTCCACCACAAACCTGGGGTCAGCGACCACCTGTCGTCAGTGTAATGTAATAGACGGGGTGGATCGCCCGACCTGTTCCGTTGATAGCCTCTCTCCCCCCTTTCTTCGCAGCGGAGCGGCATAGAACCGGAATTAAACCGTCCGTACGTCTCGCTTCCACAAACAAACCTCAACTCCGGACAAGTCGCCGTAAAAACCTCGCTGCGAGTTATCCGGAGATTCCTAAACTCAAAAGCGGTAAACATATAAAACGCCTAACATTAATGTGATCGTCTCAGGCGCCAGTACAAAAGTAAGGCGGTAAGAGAAGGCGGAAATCGAGAAATAAAAACAGATACGCGCGTGTCGCCAACCCGAAGCACTCTTCCAGCCCGGAGCGGTCGTCTTATTGTCCGTTTGTTTGTGTGTTTGTTTTCGTGCCTGAGCAACTGAAGTGAGTAAATGTCGCAAGCGTATCCACTTAAACCTACGTCGCTTCGAGCGGACGCCAGGGCGTTGCCGTGTATACACCAACCCGTGGATTCCGGTTATCTTGGGCATTGAGAAGCTGGACATTAGTATTCCACGAGCAATCCCAATAGGGGCTCGGTATACGTCACCGAACGGGGATAACCCTTTCTGAAGAGAATCCCTGGCCGCACTCCACCTTGCCAGCTCCTTGTACACGTGCGAACTTGTTTTTATGCGCATTCCTCGGAGAGAACTAGTTTTCTCTCGATAGGGACCAGCCGTGGCATCCATTACAAACTTTGACCAGATGCTTTATTTCGGAAGTGGGCGGGCGACTCGGGCAAACGCAAGGTCATAATACAAATAATAAAGTGCATTTAAATATTTTCGGGTCGGCTATCGAGCCTTCTCGAGCTTAATCTGGGGCGTTAGTCAGGAGACGCTAATGGCGTCGACCACTTGGCTGATTCAGCAGTTATCTTTCATAGCTCGTGGCTTGTTTTGCATGCCCAATCGTCCATAGCATTGTGCGTGTGTGTGTTTCTGCGTGCGAGGGCTAACGTTTCTTTGCCATTACTTAGCAAAATAATTGAATGCTAAACTGAAATGATGTTATTTTATTCGTAGAAGGTTCAATAGTCCCTCTCAAAGAAGCTGCCTTTATATATTCATTCGGTTTGGCAAGGTTCATCGAACGGCCTTTTAGAATATCTTAGAAGCACGCAGGATGTCCAACGATGATATAATCTGTTATAATAGAAGTCCCTGGGGATTCGGGCAAAAATTAAAAAGGAACATAAAGAGTGAATGGTTCATCTTCACTTTATTTACATATAACATTCTGGGGTCTTTTTCTTTCGTTCGTTGAAACACACCTCTAAATGCCGCGCCCTCTAGGAGAAAAATGCATCACAACCGCAAGCACATCAAGGTTCTTCCGCGAGCTCCCACTGCTGGACCACTCTTGGAACACCCAAACCCATGCCTCACTTTCATACGCTAGCCCCATTGACATTATTTGTATCATACAACGTAAGTTTTTCTGATACTATACCAATTTCATTTGTTGATGAGGCGAGTATGATGACCATTTCACCGGATTCGAGCCAGTACGGTCTCTTTGACATTTATATCAATTAAATTAAATACATCGTGTTTTTTTTTTTCGTCGACTAGCCTTTTGTTTTGAAGTCAAAGGTCCCAATTATATGGTCGTGTGCCACGAACACGTTAGGAGGTGCAATACAAGCATGAGCTCTATACTATATCGGTTATTAGAGTTTAGATGCTAGTGCGTCTATATTTGATAGCGATTGTTTTATCAATAGCTGTATGTGCGGAATTTCAAAGGTAGGCGATTCCTTTACCCAAAGACGCGATTTCTTCGATTACATAAATCACCTACCTTTGAAATTCCGCAGATAGAGTTATTTATAAAACAAACGCTGTCAAATATAGCCACACTTGCATCTTTACAATAACCACTGTTGTATATAGCTAATGCATGTAACGTTCCTCCTAATGTGTTCGTGGCCCACGACCATAGAATTGCGACCTCTCTTTTCTAGAACAAAAAACTAGTCGACGAAAAAAATTACAGAAGGAAGCTTAAGCTTCGTCTTTAATAAGAGTGGAACACGATGGCTGGATACAAACCCCCGCTCGTTCCCAAACCGGACTCAGGCCGCCTGCTGTGCTGAGTCAGCTGCCATCCGAATTCACCGGACCTGGGCGACCCTCATATGAAGATTGTCGATGGAGAAGACGTGACGCAGTAACCTCTTTCTGAGCCTTGCCGCAAGAGGTCTTGGCCTCGTGAACGTGGTTCTGAAGCTCCACGTGCAGCGTTTCCGGGTCTTCGAAGGAAAGCGAGACCACATCTTTCTAAGTGCATTCCACCACCTCGGCTGCCCGTACTTTGGTAGGTGGATGGTCGCCGCACAACCAAGGCAGCAGCTAGGCCTACGCTTCTACGCTGAAATCGTCATCTCCATTGAGTTTTTAGAGCGCAGCGTTTTAGGGGCCTGTTTCCGGCTTGAGCGGCGTCGGCGTCGGCGTCGCCGTCGGCGTAACCACGAGGTCACGTTACCCTCCCCTCAATGTCACGTGACCCCCCCCAGATCACGCGACCCCCTGAAGTCACGTGACCCCCTGAAGTCAGGTGACCCCCTGAGGTCACGTGAGCCCCTAAGGTCACGTGACCTTCCTCCCCTCGAGGTCACGTGTCCCCCTGACGTCACACCTGGGGTCACGTGTCCCCCCTGAGGTCACGTGACCTCAAGGAGTCACCTATCCCTCAGTACGCTTCCATCCTCCTCCTCAAGAGCTGCGCTCTAATCCGGCGTTACAGGGAATTGTAAACGGCTTTCATTTTCTTGGTCCGGTTCTCGTGGGAATACCTCCTCAATGCAATCCGCAAAAGGCTGTACTGAGACACCCTCTGTCTCGTTTTCCCAGCCCCTCTGTACAGGATAGATTATGTCCCCCAATGTGCGGCCAGGCTCTTCAAACAGCCAGCAAGGACTTCTTTGTTCGACTACACGTCGAGGTGCTGCCGGATGAGACCTGGCAGGAGGCAAGGGGAATATTTGTGCCGTGGTCAACAAATTGTGACTTGTGTGGCTCGAGCGAAACGCTCCGGCACGTCTTTGTGGAGTGCACAAATGCTTTTTCGTTTTGGGAGGAGCTGAGGGTAACTTTCGTATATATATTGAGATACACTGGAAGGCGTTCAAATACTTTGACCTTAACGCCATCGACACTTCGGACGTGGCTCAGGCAACAGTGATACTGGGGCTACAGGCAATTTGGTTGGCACGCACCGCTATGGTGAAATGCCACACGAACGCCAAACCAACGTGGGACTACATTACTTCAAGGCTAAGGTTTCTGATCTCGATCGCGATTGAGGATGAAGCTCCTGCAGTGCTGGCCGTTGGCGGCAGCTAATTGAGACGAAACTAGAGGCATGGCGGCTCCGCGACCAGCGCGTCCGTCCGCGCGGGAACAGGGGCAGGTGAACAAACGGCTTCCGTGTCGTTGTTCCCGCGGGATTGTAACGCAGTGTTGACACGGTGCTCTGGGGCCGGGACACGGAGGAAAATAACCGGAATTTGAACTGCTGCCTTTTTCCGGGTGCTCTCGTACACTTACACAGTATCTTCACCAAGTGTATGAATGCTGCACTGCACATCAGTTGTAAATAAATTATTGTATTTCGTTTACAAAAAAGTATCGGCGTGGACTTGTCGGTGGCGAAGGGTCGTGGGTTCTGTCCCCCTCCACCTAAAATTTTTCGGATTTTTTTAACAAACATTAGTTACTCATTGATTAAATTGATTAATCAGAATTTTCCGGTCCCACCGATGCCGACGCCGGCTTTTCTACGGCGCGAGCTCCTTCAAGTTCCTTTAATGTAATGCATTGAAAATTCTTCAACGAAAACAAAACGTGTTATTAATGAGCACATTAAAGGACAGATGAACTAACTCCTACGAGACGATGTCTAATATAGCCCATCTTTCGAGCAGTTTGAATAAAATATGGTGATCAGTTTTGGAACAGCAATGTGACATCAGGTACTACGTACATGTCCCCCTAACGTACTACCATTCTTGAGTCAAATTTTGACAGAAAGGAGTTAAACCTCTTAATGGAGAATGAAGATAGTGTTGGAATTTGATATTCTATTAACCTTATCAAAGATTGAGTAGACCGGAAGTGTACTAGGGGTGGCCCATTGAGAGGCCCTAGCTCGTGGTTCGGCAACAGGTAAAACACCACCTACAGAACGAGGCCTCAGCGCTAGATTTCTTACGTCACTTCGCGGAGGCCAGCAGAACTCAGCACTCGTGTCCGAACTGTGCCCACTCTCGCTGGCCTTCCGTAGATGACGTAAAAACTCCGGGTTCGGCCTCGACGTCTAGGAAGAGCTGACTGTCCCTGTGAGTCTTGACGACGGACGCTTGAGAAACGGCGTGATCGGCTAGTGAGGCCGCTTCATGACCTCGTGTATCCAGTCGACGTAGTGGGCCACCTTGGTGTACACGTCGGGGAAGCCCTTCTTGGCGCAGCCGGACCCGAAGGACGTGATGCCCGTCAGGTGCCACTTGCCGAACAGCTTGCACTGCAGCGGACCTCCGGAGTCGCCCTGCGTCAAGGACCACACAGTTCCTCTTGTCCTATGGAGCTTTTCGAGAAAGAACGCCCCTGAGTTCGCACCCCTGGAGCCTGTGCATCGCCAGTCATTGAGCGACGTGTTTTTGACAACTAGTGTTTGCTGACCGCTTAATAAGACATGCGTAAACTTGTCAAATCACAGGTGCCACCACTTGCTTTTTTTTCGACCGTCACTCTCAGAAATAAGGTTTGGTTCAGAGACACAAACCCTATTCATGGCGTTTCTTTTGGTGTCGGTACCGAAACAGGAGCCACTGTCATTGTTGCCAGGCACATTTCAGCGAGTTATTCCACCTGGGAAGCATTTTCTTTTTAGCAAAAAGTCAACTTTTGTAGGGAAACTAAAGCTGCAATTCCTATATTTTAGTTAGTGACGTGTTTCGCGGTTGTGAAAGAAATTAGAAGACTAAGGCGCTTCTTTACGACATTTCAAAAGTGTGTTTGTGTTGTTTTTCTTTCTAAATGAGGCGTTTTTATATACCAAAATACGAAGCGAAACAAAGCGTGTGCACCGTTCTTTTTTGCATCACTCGTCAAACAATTTAACAACAAGCACTTTGTTGTCACTAGGCAGCCAAGTATCATCGCAGTCGCGACATTTCGTAGAACAGGTCCCGAGCTTGCAGATAGATTGTCGTAATATATTCTCTGGAGGCTGCGAGCTCGAGCCAGCAACTGCTTTTACTCCACGAAACAGCAGGCTTGCTTCTGTTCATTCAACACGACTGCTTCCGTGTCGCCATTGCAATTTTCGTTTATTTTTCATTGGTCATTAGGTGTCCACAACAAAAGCGCACCTATTCAGTCTGTTTCATCGGTTGCCGCTACTGCAAGATTTGTGTGAAAGGTACGAGCCAGAGTCAAAAAGTAGCTGTAATTTAGTTATAAAAAAAAAATCGAAATCCCCTGATGGACTGCTGTGCATCGAATATTGTTTGTACCCCACTAGAGGACGCTGTGCGCGCCGGCCAAGCGGCTTAATAGGAAATGTCACGCGACCACAGTTTCAAAATCTGCCCCTTTAGAATTGTGCACCAGGGAGGATCACCGCGCAGTCATCCGGTTTTAACTGCAGAAGGCGAAAAGTCTGCAGATATTCATCGCACGGCGTTGAAGCAGTATGGGGGCGCCTTTATGTCACTTCGACATATGTACGAGTTGTGTAAAAAGGTTCCAAAGCGGAGAGTAAAGTTTGACTGGCACACCTCACTCCAGCTGGGCTCAACTTCGACGACTCAATGACCAGACGTTAAACGGCTCGTAAATGAAACTCATCGTGTCAGCATTGATTAGATGGTTCAAGATGGCTGAACGTGGCTAAAGAACATTAGTCGTAGCTCGGTGCACCACGTAATTCACGATATTCTGAATCATAAAGTGTCCACCAGGTGGGTACCAAAACAACTTACCGCAGACGTTAAAAAGTTCCATGTGGATGTGTGCGAGACGCTTCTACACTGTTATGAACCCGTGTGAGATGTATTTCTTCAACACATTGTCAGCGGGGGCCAATGTTGTATCTACTATGCCCAGTCAGAGACTAAGCGGGCAAGCTTAGAGGGATGAAACACTACGTCACCAAACTGAAAGAAGTTCCCTGCAATTCCGACATAGGTGAAGTTTATGCTCACGGACCTCCGAGATCATAAATGACCGATAGTCGAATATTACACGCCTAGGATACTAAGTGTCAACACTTGATCCCCTGGGCATGCCACCTGCTCGAGAACAACTGGAAGCCTGCCATCATGTCAAACGCTGTAGGCCTCTGCTATGCTGCTGCTGCATGACAACGCGCGCTTCACACGCAGAAAAAAATCAAGCATCTGCATCTTCAGCGCATTCGCCATCCGCCATACAAGACTTGGCACCGAGAAATTTTTTCTCTTCTAACCCCTCAAAGCAGCTCCGGCGGTGTGAAGTTCCGTACAGATGACGAGCCGAAATCGGCGGTGCATTCCTAGCTTCGGAGTCAGCAGCAATATTTTGCTATTGTTTTGCTCTCCATGGCATGCAGGCGTTCGTGAAGCGTTGGAGCACATATTGGAAACACAAGAAAGGGTAAGTGCGAGGGGGGGGGGGGGAGGAGGTATTGTACCGTATTGTTTGTAATCCTGTCTCTATCATTGCGCAAAAAAAAATTGTAGTTACGCTTTTACTTAGCGTCGTACAACGCTATCAAACATGTTAAACGTTCTGAGAGGGTATCCATCGACAAGTGCAAACTACAAACTTACTTCAGTGTCCCTTTAGTGATCTTTCTTTCAATAAGAAAAAAAAATTTCTCCTCTCCTCCTAGTGCTCAATGCCCAGCGGAAAACTAAAGCTAAAACTCCCCCTATGGGTTTTTGGGGTCTTTTTTTCTTTTGTTTTCACAATACTTTTTTTTTCTTTTTTCGTGCATGGTTTTAATGGGAGCACCATAAGTCGTTTTAATTCGTTCTTTCTTAATAGTTCCTCCCCAACATCTACAAACGCCTGTAATGAAAAGAAGCTGCTATTACGGTGCCTTGAAGCACCTTCATACCCGTTCACCGCAAAACTGAGAGGACGGTGGAAGCTACCGTCGTTTGGCCGTACGAATCATTCGCCTGCCTTTTCTCGCTCTCTCGTGTGAGTATATACGCAGACAGCGTGATCACATGGTGCGAGACCCTACGACGAACTAGTCCAACAAGCACGTAGCTTCCACCGCTCTGTCAGCTTTCAACTTAGCGGTGAGTGCAGTCTACGCTTTTCCAACGTTTACAAAATCACAGTCGAGCATGCGATCATCACAGCCCAGCGCGCCGTCGTTTCGGAAACCTAGTAAAGCACGCTCTATACGCAGTAACGCTCAAAATGGTATCAGACCGTTTATGAAATGGTTTGCAACTGACGTCTTTAGCCTCAGATTGTACGTTGTCCCAGGAAGGCTAGCGGTATCTCACAGGAGCCAAGGATGGCAAAACTACGAATTATCGGGATGCGGGAGGTTGGTTCGAGAGGCGACAGCTGAGACGAATGGGCGACAATGCCGTTGACGTCTTGGCGTCCCTACCCTACCCGTAGCGAAAGTTCCGTTTTGTGGGAAAACGTCGCTTTGCTTTCGCCTGGCGCCAAGCCACCGGAAAGTGTTTATGTTTTAACCGCACCTCTCGGTGCGGTTAAAACCTATTTTGCTCCTATTTTGCTCTTCGGTGTTTTACATGTTCTAAGTTGTAACGTATCGCTTTTTTTTTGTCCCGCATACCGGACATATAAAGTACAGTAAGCATACTGGACATATAAAAATAAAGCTATCAAAAATTTTTAGGTGATTTTCTCAAAATTTTAATGGGAAAATGGGACTCATTTTTGCCTGTTTTTCAGCAACTGTAACAGTAAGCCCTGTCGGCCGCCATTTCCCCGTTCACAACTTCAGAAAATCCCAGAACTTTTAAATAAAATAACGGTTAGTGATGAAACTTTGGCGTCTGGTCTGGACCGCTAGATCTACCTTTCGGAGGAGAATGAGCGTTCGGCGTTGCGAGGTTTATTTTTGCGGTAAATAAAAAAAAATTTATTTTTAGGGACACCACGTTCATAACCGGGGATGGGGGACTGCAAATGATTACCCAGGTTAGACATTCGGTCAGATCCAATAAAGGTGCGATAGCCCTAATACGCAGTTCTACCCTATATAGTACGCAACCAGCGTTCCTACGCAGCGGAAGGAGAAGGAAGTGTTGGTGCACCACTTACCCCCAAAAACACACACACACACACACGCGCGCGCACGCATTCCCCGCAGCGCACTGCTATTGGTCCCGCGTGGTGTGTCGTCAAACCAACAGCTACGCCTGCGTTCCATTGCGGACGATCTTTCCCGTGAAATCGTGCTACGCTGCGACCAACACCAACACGAGCAAGCAAAGTTCGTGCAGGGACCCCGAATACACCAACAAGCGGCACTGACGTTTCGCCGCTCCAGTGACGCTGCTGTTGACTTCACTTCATGCCAATCTGGTTCCCACGCACGCGGAGTGCTTGCACTTCGAGTGGGAACTGCGTGTTTGCCCACGCCTCGTGTGGGCTTGTTTGTAAACAGCGTGTTGGCCTAGAAACCTATCGCCTACAAGGTGCATTCAATTACGACGCGTTCAGCGCGCTCGGGACGCTGTTCCTCTGGGACGAAACGAGACTCACGTGGCAGGTGCCTCGGCCCCCCTCCAGTGTTCCGGCGCAGAGGTGCCACTTTTTGATGGGGATCTTGAACTTGGGCCTGTACGCCGAGTCGCACACCGCGTTGTCGTAGATCTTTACAAACACCTCCTGCAGGATGTTGGCTGGGCGTTTGCCTGTCATCCAACAAAACATGCGAGTCAGCCGCGGTACCAAGCGTGGCCAAATAAGCCAACAAGAGTTATGATAGTAAAAATAGTGATCCTTAGCGAGAAAATACGAGAATTTCACCAGCTGCCCAACCGAATCGATGTCAGTAGGAACCTGTATGGTAGGGCTTCAAATAATGTCGAATATCTACATGGTGCATGTCGAATGCCTAACGCCTTGCTAAGACTTCTTCCTCTAAGAAAAAAAAAAGCAACTAAAGCCAGTTAGAAAAAAAAAATGCAGCTTCATATACGAATGGTGGTTTCATCTCAACTCAGGCACGGATTTAGGGTCGAATTTTTAATTTTGACAAAAAAAAATATGTGTTGGGGAAAACCCTTTTGTGGCAGGGAGTGCAAACCGCCAGTTCGGGCGATTTTCTGTTCACGAGTTATGGACATTTTAAGCAGCCGAGGCGCAAACTGACCTTGTTCTCGCCTGTCGGAGGTGTCATGTTTAACTTCTTTCAACTTTTTGCCTTTTTTTTTTTTTTTTTGGTAGTGCAATGTAACTTTTTTCGATCACTCCCAGAATAGTGATTATTTATAGTCAGTGATTTTATTGTCATTATTTGTCTTCATTTTTGTTTTAAATATTGTCAAATGTGTCCATTGGACAATACTTGTCAATGTTTGACCAGCTTTTCCGTGTTACCTATTTGAAATATCGTAACATATTTAGTATTTTCAGAAAACTGAGAGTATATTCTTTCTATTGATAACAAATTTGATGTTGTGTGTAAAAGAGAAAGGGCAGTGTATTCTCGTAAAGCAAGGATTATTTCAAAATGTTTGCAAAGTGGAGGTCGATTTAAAAAGAAACTTTTATTTGGCTGATTTTTTTTTCTTTAGCTAGCTACTGCAGTGCTTTATAAGGTAATATAATAGAAAATGTAATATTTTGTTTGTATGGCAGCTATAAAAGCTTGAAGCCTGCTTTTGTTTGACTGTTTGATCAGTAAATCAACTTACTCGCAAAAATACACTAATTAAAAAGTGGCGCCTCTTATTTTTTTATTAGATACCTGTGAACACACTTATTCTCTGATAAATAATTTAACGCGATTTTTTATATGAAATATATTTTAGAAAGTTTGTCAATATGACATTTTTGGACGATATTTGTCAAAGTTTACCAGCTCTTCCGTGTGACCTATATAAGGTGTCTAACATATTTAGTATTTTCAGAAATCTTAGAGTATACTCCTTCTAATGATAACAAATTTGATACTGTGTGCAAAATAGAAAGGGCAGCATGTCCTCATAAAGCAAGGACTGTTTCAAAACTTTTGCGAATTGGAGGTCGATTTTTCTTAAAAAGCCTACATGTTATTTGGCTAAGTGTTTCTCTCTAGCTACCTATCGCAGTACTTTATAAAGTAAAATAAACAGAAAATGTAATATTTTGTTTGTATGGCGGCTGTAAAACCTCACATTTTCGTTTTCATTCACTTGTCGCCCAGTAATGCAAGTGACTCACAAAAATAAACTAACTCATAATTAACTGCTCTGAAATTTTTAGTAGTTACATGTAAATTTATTTAATAAAAAAAGATGCAAACAGCGAGTTCTGCTAATAAAGCGTCCAGGTCATAATGTTTTAACGTTTGTTTTTTAATTGTCAAACCGCCTCTCTGCCACAATATTTGACAAAGTTCAGCAAGCTGAGCTGTGTGACGTAACCAATATATTTTTATGATTTTTACATCACCGTAAAGCTCCAATTAAGCTCTTTCTTTTGAGTATAGTTTGAATGTTTTGTGCCAAACACATAACGCGGAAGGAACATTGGCGTGAAAAAACAGATATTTAGTAAAACATGCAAGTTTGAAATCGATTTTCCAAAAAAAAAACTCTTATTTATTTTATTTTTTTATTCACAGTTAGGTAATATAGTAGTCTGTCAGGAACTAACAACAGAAATTGTAATATATTGTTTGTATGGCCGCTATTAGGACTCGAATCTCGTGCTATGAGCGTTTTGAAAGGGCCTTCGCATAGACGCTCAGCTGAGCAGAATTTTGGCCAATGTAAAGTTTTCTATTTAATGTTAGTACGTACCTCAATATCTGAGCGTAAAAGCCAGTGAAGCAACAATATTTATTTACTTGGCACTGGGGTGATTTGCAAGGTGTTTGAGCTTCGCCCTATGTATTGACGGAGAAGATACGTAACATGTAGACTCCCGGACAAACGTAAGTCGAGAGGGAAGTCTAAGTAACCCGGCATGAATCACCAAAAATAGAAATGAAACCTAGACACATGACTGACACGTTTGAAGCCTTAGACGCTACGAAATACTCGTTATTTTACGGAAAAGTCCGTATGTCCACAAAATAAACCGTACTTCCTAAGCGTCAAATACTAAATTGTACATATGTATATGCACTAAATATCTTTGACAAAAGAAAATATGACAATTAAATATGAAGTTCGGTATTTCAAACTCAAAGCCGAAAGCAAAAGACCCCAGAGGAATTCTCTAATGATCTGCATTCCCCTGAATTTTGAGGAAGTAAGCGCTGTGCCCGCACTTGTGGATACGGACTTCTAAGCTTTTTGTTAAGTGCACTACTCCAAATTTTATTGAGATAACTGGTAACGATAAATAGAAAACCTTACATAAGCCAAAGTTCTGCTCAGCAGAGCGCCTGTGAGAAGTCCCGTTCAAAACACTCATAGCACAAGATTCGAGCCTTAATAGTGGCCATACAAACAATATATTAGAATTTATGTTGGTAGTTCCTGTTATATCACTATATTACCTACCTGTGAATAAAAAATAAAAGAAATAAAAGTTTTTTTTTTCAGAAAGTCGACTCTAAACTTGCTAGTTTTTCGAAATATTAGTTCTTCAGGCACTTTTTGCGCCTTATTTACATACTGCAAAACATTCAAATTATACTCGAAAGAAAGAGCTTAATTCGAGCTTTACGGTGATGTAAAGATCATAAAAATATGTTGATTAGGTCACACAACACAGCTTGTTGAACTTCGTCAATCATCGTCGCAGAGAGGTGGTTTGACAATTAAAACAAAAACTATTAAGGATCTTATGACCTAGACGGTTGATTAGCATAACAAAAGCATATGTCTAGAGTGTCCCAAAATTTATATTGATGTAGCGTAAAAAGTAGGGAAACGGGACGGAGTGAAATATGGCACCCCTGATAAGCTGGAAAAACGTCAGTTTCCACCTTGGCCGCTTCAACGGCCCATTACTTGAGAACAAAAATCCGACAAACTCGCCGTTTGCGTTTTGTTTTATCAAGGGAATTGCCCAAGAACATATATTTTTGACAAAACCTAAAAATGCGATCCAAAATTTGTGACTGAGTTTAGATGAAATCACTCATATATATATATATCGTTTTAACTGTCCTTGATTCATAGCAGGGACGGCGCCAAAGGGAGGCGAGGGGTGGCGGACGCCTCCCCTAAAATTTGTCCTGCCATCCCAAAAATATGCCCGCCTTTACATCCGTCCCCCCCCCCCCCCCCCCCCCACGGCCCTAATTTTCGTGCGCAGACCCGTGCACACTACATGGCTCGTCATTTTCCTATTTTTTTCGTCCCATGGAAAAGGCATTGGCTTGAAGGATAGGCAGCCTAAAGAGGCCCCATCCCGGACGTTTTCAACTTTTTCGTCCCGTCCGCTTTATTTTCTTTACGTACCCTGTGGAGAACGATACATGAATATCGGTATGGCTTCCCGAGGCTAAGGAGCGTCGTCTACCACTCAATGCCATCTGTCGCCAACTGTAAAACACTTCCCGAAGGAAGCGTCGCCCAAGTGATTACTCGGAGAGACTTGGAATCCCAACTGCACTGGGCCGTCGCTTCGTACCTGCCAGGCAATAAAACTCAAGGGCACTGTTCATGTTCTGACCGAGGAAATCTCCCAAAGTCCTGAGACAATCAGGCCGACTGGCGAGTTCCCAGGGGGCGGCTTCGATGCATCGAGGTTCTTTAATCGAGGTCATCCTAGCTGCGTCTTTCAGGTATCCACGGCTGTGTACGATGGCTTCTTGAAGCAGCTTTGGTGACGGCGACTGTGTGTCTGTGTGAGTGCTCGGGAGACTACTTCGGTAGGTTAGAGGAAAACTGAAAGTGTTCGTGCATTTAGGGGGGAAGGAGGGGGGGGGGGTAAATAAATGTTGCCTGCTGGGAGTCACGTCAGTCCGTTCGTTTATCGTGCACTCCTAAATCCTCACCCCGCCCTGGGGAACTGAAGAACGCGGTACTTGAAAGGAGAAATTTTCTGAAAATTCTCGTGCTCTCTGATACTAATCGAGTACAACATGCACCTTTCTTTCGAGACACCGTTGCTCCCGAGATTCCTTCTGCAACCCCGTACCGGCGCCTGAAGCCATCCGAGCTCCACCGCGGGGCCAACCACTTGGTGCCGAGAACATTGAGGAATACTCGAAGAATTCCCCCGGGTGCGCTATGGCATCCAATCATCCGATTAGTGACTTCTTCCAACAAACAGCAACGAAGCGGATCGTTTCAGGAAACGGCTCCGATTTTGAACCTGCCAAGCGTTTGATTGATGGAGAGTGGATGGCATGGTGCAAGTGCTGAGAAACATCAATGTGAGTCTTCATTCATGACAGCGATGACGGCGGACCGATTGTCACCTTTCAGAACGAAGAACACCAAGCCTGACCTTCTGAACTGAAGACAGAAATACCACAGGATGTAGCCCGAACAGCTTTTGCCAGTACAGCCTGTGCTGGTCTCTTCCTGTGACCACCTATGGCAATAATTCAAGGACCTTCAAGTCCGACTGGTGCACCAGCTTTCCGTGGCTGGAGTACAGTGTGTGTTCGAATTGTGCTTTTTGTTTTTGCTGTACAAGATGTTTTCCACTAATAACGGACAGAACAGTGCAAGTGCTGTATTTTGACAGAGGGCTATCGAAACTGGAAGAAAGCTCTTCAAAAGGAAGGCGGACTACGACGCCACTCCAACAGCGCGGCACGCAAGATGTCCCAAACATCACCGGCTTCCTTCAAGCGGATGAAATGAGGCGCGGATAAATCGGTCGCCGTGTACCTCAGCCAGGCGCATTCAGCAAAGAGAGAATCGTCACTACATTTACGTGATCGCTGACGTGCTCCGGGTTTTAGCGGTGCAGGGGATTGCCCAAAGAGCAGATGGTGAGTCACGACAAGCGTGAACATGCTTATATCTACTATTGTGGAATGTAAACATTCCTGAATATTTTGTATGTGAAATGCTACATTAAACAGAGTTGCAGATAGGTTGTAAAATAATGAAATAAACTGGGGTGATATATATTAAAAACTCCTCAAGCGACTTGGTGCCCGCAGTCGATACTGCCGGGAGTGTCTAGGGCTCTACCAAGTCACTGTCCCTGAACATTTTTTCCTTTAGTTGGATCGAAAGCCCATGCCTCCCCAAAAATGCCATGCGCCTCCCCACTGCCCCTCTCCCCCCCCCCCCCCCCCCCGCCCCCCTATTTTTAGTCTGTCGCCGTCCCTGATTCATAGCGAAGTGTTTTATTTTTCTAAATTTATGTCGGTGTGTATAAGAAAGAGTTTCAACCACTTCAGTCAGCATTCTAGCTTAAAGCCCGTAGCATTCAAAACAAATATCGCATAATTGTTTTTTACAAAGATGCGATTGAAATTACATCGCCAATGCATTGCACCGACTAAAATGGTCGAGGATCACGGACCCTATAGAATCGCCGGAAATGTCTGACGCCGCCAAGACGGTCATTCGTCCTCTCGCGTCACGTGAAATTTGTTTATACTCCATCGATTCGTGTGCGCCGCCATTTTGGTGCTTACAGCCACATGAACATAGCTTGAGACCTTTATGGTTCTGAAATGTGACTCTGTGAGCTGTAGATTTGGCGTTAGAAGATCATCGCGCTCGCGATTTGCTCTGTTTGTAACTGTTTTAGCGAGCAGGATGGCCGAAAAAACTTCTTGCGTTTTTCATCAGGCATGTCAGCAAGAGCTAGAGACAACTGGCAACATTGATTCTACACGCCGATATGGCTTAAGTGTAGTTACCCTAAAGAGCAAAGCTTATTCAGTGCCTCTATTCGCGTCAAGAACTGCAGGAAAAAAACAAATCCCGGCTCCTCGCGGAAGGTTACAATTTCCCCCTGCATGTGTTGAGTTAAGGCATATGTGAGTACACATTAGCTTATCTTTCCGTTATTTTATGAAAACACACGTTGCAAAGGATAAAAGCATCGTTTCTTCGTTCAACAACCAAATGTTGTGATAACTACCTCGCGCAGCGCGTGAATAATGCGCAAAACTTAGTTTTTCCTTCATCTGATATCGAGCGAGCGTGTTGTAATAACGAATACTTGAAACAGGAAGAATAAATACACGGAGGACGTGCGACTGTCTGTGAGCTTTTATCATGTTATTGAATTGACCAGAACGGTAGCCATGGAGAGCGTTCGAAATTTAGTAGCAGACATTTCCTGCTCCGCTTCGGTGCGTCTGCGCACGCGTGCGTTGTCCACTGGCAAAGATGACAAAAGGCGGAAAGGCATGCAGAATATCGACGCATTCGCTTTCCTCCCCGCAGCCTGCCTTGAAAACGCGGCCCATGAGCCACGTGACCTTTATCTCAGATTCAGGCACGCTAGGAGGAACCCTACCGTAGTCGACCTTCCCCCACCCGGTGGCAGCGCACACCAGGTCCTGGAACTCGTCGTCGGCGTCCGGTAGGCAGATGGGCTGCACGTACTTGTTGAACTGCACCTCCTGGGCCATGCGCATGAGCGCGATGTCCTGGTCGTAGCCCATGTACCACGGGTAGTGGTACACGTGCGACACCTGGACCGTCAGCTCGGTGCCCTCGGTCAGCTTCTGCCGGTGCTCACCCAGCCGGATCTTCCAGAACACCGGCTGCGGGAGCACAAACAGAGGGCTGCGCCGTCCCCCGCGCAGCATCCGGGCGTCCCAGTCCACCCATGAATGTTCTCTCTTTTCTAACCTCCCGAATATTGCGGTGCCTGGAACGCGTCTCCGACTGACGTGTCCGCCGCGTTTTCAAATGTGGGCCCTCGATTTCCGCCTGATAACTTTATATAGGTGTCTTTCCGTTGCCTGCCGCCGTCCTGGCGATGGCACATTACCGGAGGAGAATGCTGCAGACCCCTGTTCTGCTGTAGCATCACTCTCAAGTTAACACTCCACGGAACGCTCAGCAGCAACGAGTTTGACGGCGATACTCGCGTTCGCTCGTACTCTTTGCCGAAACTTCTACGGCCAATTGTCAGGATCGCGACATCCAACAACATGGTAAGCCGGCTTGTGCGACTCCATTTGTTGCTACTTCAAGACCGCTTTCGATGCATGTATGGTATTACACCAAATTAAAAGGTTAAAAGCGTGAACAAAACGAGGGCAATGAAGACACAGAGCTGACAGGACAGGCGTTACCTTTCAACTGATTTTATTAAAACCATTGTCACTTATATACACAATCTCATTTGCCCGACTTGCATCAATACAAATTACAGCTCTCGCACGCCGCCATCCAGAAAAGTCTTTTCTTTTTGAAGCAAGTAAAAGAAGGCGCGCTAGCGCATTTGTCGCCTTCATTTTTCATATAAAACTTCACTATAATCTCTCTCTCTCTCTCTCGGTTTTATATTTTGCTTTTTAACACGACAGCGTTAAGTAGCTGGTGTCGCGCCGGCCTCGGTGCCGCGCCAAAAAAGCTGGCGTGACGCAAAAATCTCGATTGGTCGTTAGGGTCATGACGTCAAAGCCACCAGACCTGGGCTCGTCTGTCTGGAGCAGCGTACAGTTTCCATCCGTTGCGGAGGAACGGAAAGTTCCCGTCCGTCGCCGAGACCGCCTAGTGGCGCTGCGATATTGCCGTCATCATTCGTTTATAGAGAATGCGCACCCCGCTGAGGGGCCGTCGCGAGGCCGCCGGGAGAGAACACGTTTGCGATGGATGCTGTGCCGTCTACCAGTGCGGGGCGCTACTCGTCGTCTTCTAAGAATGCACATGCCGCATTTACGTCTGCTCCTGCTCGGCGACGGTGTCGGCCACGTAAGACTGAAGCCGAGGTCTCTTTCAGTGGTTTGCAAGATGCCCCCAACTTTGCTGCGCACAGAAAGATTATGTACTCGTGCTATATCGTTAAGACAGCGGCCAATTTGCCCGATGTAAACGTTTCCACAACTTAGCAGGATCTCGTATAGGCAACCTGCAATGCTGTTTGGTTTGGCGCTATCTAGCGACTGAAGCAAGAAACTTTGGGTATGCCGGGGATGGGCGGCTGCATTGTTCTAACGTGACCTATTACTCTGGTGGCAGCGCTTTTCCTAGTGGCTGAAACAAGAAATACTGGGCAGGCCAGGAAGCCGTGATCGTATTCCATGTCAGAACGGCAGAACCTACGGCCCTGGTGGGCCAATCGGAATGTGACTACTTGTCACCGGAGTGCGCTTTTACTGCGAAGAAGTGTCAGGCTTTTCGCTGCGTCATGCTTCAATATGCGTGCGTTGCGCTCGTTCATATCGAAACCGTCGGCACGCAATGTGCATGGAGCTTATCGTTCACCCTTTGCCAAGTTACACCGAGAAAGGGTAGAACCATGGGCTCTCACTCTGCTGGCGCCGCCTGGCTATACGACACTGGTGACACATTCAGTACACTGCACTACGTGCTTCTAAAAAGAAGCGCTTTTGTCTGCCGTGTCAGCATCGGACAGATTTGGGAAAGTTTACAAGGGGCCGAGAAAACAACGTTCGGATTAAATCCACTGGCTATCTTTTTAATGTTGTGGGGAACTTAATGCCAGTGCAGAATCACTTGTGCGCGTCTTTTATCTTTCTTTTTCTTGTTGCACCTTTGAATGTTAGTTCTTTTCATTTTTGAAGAAGGTTCTCACAGCAGCTCGAATTTAGGATAGAGGGTATCCTACGTTTTCCAACCTTTTTACTTGCTGTGCAAACTATCCAAAAAAAAACTTTTCTTTTCGGCTGAAATCGGCTTTTGCGGACTTTATACCGGGTGCGGACTATAAACGGCATGCATATTCGTCTACTTCTTGCGCACCTGGCGCGTTTGTTTACCCACCAAATATGCCCACGTGCGTTTGTTCTTCCCTAGCTCAGCCAATGAAGGCGCTAGCTTGGCTGCCTCTTCATCGCGCGTTTCCCATGGATTCTCTAAGGTGCCCTTTAATTGCCGTGCCCTTCTTTGCATTCCCATGCTGAAAAGACGCAATTTAGAACACTACCGCCCCTTATGCTCCGGAAAATACGGTATATAGCACAAAAGCCGTAACAAGTGGCGATATGCAAAATATATCCACCGAATGGCATGAATGGCCTCAATAAATTTTTGTCTTTATTCCAGTCACTAAAACGCACGAACAACTTTTTGTTAAACAACTGTTTAGTACAATTCTAGCAGTGCGTCCCTGTTTGAAGCAATTATTACGCTTCAATAACTTTCAGACACCGCGTACCGAAGAGCTGGGGCTTCTCGCTACACAATTCTGGCCGATTGTGTATATTCGTAGCAAGAAAGAAATACCGGAAGACATCTGGGAGCGTTTTTCAGTTAAAATATGAAAGGCCTCGTTCTTTTTGTGAGGATCCATTCGAGCATATCTGTTTGTTTCACGTTCGAACGTCAGTCCAGCAAATCATTATTTTTTTTTTCCGGCTCAACTATCAAATTAGGTTTCAGTTTGATATTCTGAAAACCGAGCCTAGGTGGTGGTCCAAGACCGACCTAGGCATTCGATATTTTTACTGCGTCATCTCGACAGTACGTGGCGATTTCACAAAGCCTCGGAATTATCAACGATAAGAAAACACGTGGTAAACGTTGCAAGTGGAGCAACTCACTTGACAATGCAATGGGCCGCAGTGAGGATCCAACGGTTGTTGAGCAACACCCCTCCGCACCAGTGGCCAATCTTGCCGGCTTGAGGGTGCGTCAAGCGTACAGAAACCTACATCCAGAAATAAAAACAAGCGGGAAATTATTTACGTAGCCTCCCTACACTCCGTTTCTCATTATGTCTGACCGCCTCCGACGCTACCAGATATGGCCAATCAGGAAGCGCCAAAAAAGCATCGTCACGAGGCTCCTAGTTGTTTTTTGTCTTTTTTTTTTTTGGTTTACAGTTGCTAGTGGGAACCTCCCCGAGAAATCATTAGGGTCGTCCTTCGCAAAACCTCCCGGTGACGTCATCAATAGTAAGATCGCTCCCAAAAATTGTGTTGTGTGTATGTGTATACAGCCGGAACTCAGTGAGCCTCAATGGGCGTCTGGTGTTTCAGCTGTAGAGTACATGAGAAATTTTACCAGTGCAGTACAACCGCTAGCCTGGGGTTTTTGAGGTGCACTACGCAAGAGAGTGAGTGATACACGGCCGCACGCCGGTACGTTGCTCATCCAGATCGAAACGGGCAGGGGTGGGGATTTAAACCGGGATCCCTGGGTCCTGCAGCGCGAGCTTTCTCTCCACGTGCTCCGAGCTGGTGTGAGCTAGACCACTCGGCCACCGATCCCCCTGGTCCCTCTCAGGCGCCGTCACCAAGTTTAGAAAAAATAAAAAGTGTTTTTCTGTCGAGCCGGATTCGAGCCAGCGACTTATGAATGATCGAAAGAGTTTCCTCAACAGTCGACCGCTTTACCAACCAGGCTAACTGTGAATAATGTTTTTTTTTAATTTTTATTTACATTTATGTACACATTGGTTTACCCCGTATACACGACCATAGCCTCCTCTATACTCACAAAACCTGGCAGTTCGATGACAGAGCCATAGAGTGCCCGGTCGCAGATTTGGAGCGCGAGTATCTGGCAGCAGAGAGCATTTCTGGTATTCAGCGAACAGCTTCTGCAGCGGCGAGGTCCCGAAACATGGTTTTCAAACCCGACGAAAAACGAAGCTGTAGCGCGAAAAACGCGAGGAGCACAAGCAGTCCTTCCATCGCTCGGGAGAAGTCCGTTTCGGCGTTTCGCCGCAGCGGGACGCCCGTTACATGTCTCTTCTATTATCCATTGTCTGCCGCTCTACCTTTTCACTTCCGGCGGCCGCCTCTCGTGGCGATCTGCCAGGCTTTGTCAGTATAGAGGAGGCTATGACATGACACAATCATAAGGCATCATTATACTGGGTTAGTACCTAACACAATGCGTAGTCAGAAACACACAGTGATTAGTGCAAAACAAAGGCAACTATAGAGAGAGAAAAAAAAGAGGGTTTCCTCTTTTGGCTTGCAAAAGAGGAAACACTAACGTGTATGCCACAGTCAGAGGTCAGACGGTCATCATTAGTGGGGGGAGGGGATGAGGGGGACTAGAACAAAGGCAACTATGCTATTACAACTCTTTATATGCGCTCAGCACGGTAAACGAACCGTTTCGGACTTTATACGGGAGATCTTGACATATATGACGTCGGGCGACCCACTTAAACCCCTCATCATTTCGGTCCACTCTTCATCTTCACAAATACAAAGGATGTGCTGCCCTACTGGGATCGCAATGTTCCTGAAATTCACCCAGGAAGGTTTGGAAACTCCCCTCTTCGGTATCGACCTTCTTTGTTTTCCAAAGATTGTAAAGTTTTAACACTGCAAGTCTATCGAGAAGTCTATTCAGTAATCGGAAAAATGGGAATATCTTAAATTTATTTTCTCAACTTTGAACTCCTTGTTCGGCGTTTCTTTGAAGATATTTCAAAAAAAGACTGCAACAACGCATATAATACAATGAAGGCGTAAACGTTTTAGTTGAAGTCCATTAACCAGAGTTTTTCGATGCCTCGAGATTCATGCCATTCTTTCACTGGCACAGTTGTTGAATGAAAGCGAAAGAAGAATATGTTGCATTTAGGTGGAACCGGGCATGCGCTTACCCTCTTTGGCAAGTCCATTTGACGATCCTCTGGCGGTTCAAAGAAGCATAAACCATTTAACGGATCAGAAAAAACATGATGGGAAGCTGCTTGCCTAAAAGATTTTTCGAACAGGGCTCTAGAATGGTTTGATTAAACCTAACACTCAAGATATCAAGTGCGTCTGCTACTTCCTTGACAAAACTTTGCAGCTTCGTAATTTTAAGTTCGTCATTTGTATGAACATCTTATTCGATATATTTCGCCAAAAATATGTTTTGTATATTTCGAAGAACTGTTGTAGAGGTTGTCTAAGGAATTTCCACCTAGCAATTTACGGCCTCACAAAAATATGACCTCAGCTACGACCGCCATCTTCACTTGAACGAAATAAATTGGATCTTCTCATCGGCTCATATGAAGACCATCAAATAAATGCCGCGAAAATTCTATTGAACATATTCACCGTATTTCTTGAATAGTGCAGGATTTATGAAGAAAATATATCAGTTTCGACAAGAAAAAAAGGTTGCATGCTGCACTTCGGTCAAAAGTTGAAAGGTGCCTCATATTCCACATATGAGAAGCCCATTTAACACTAGTGCAAACACTGCTCCACGTTGGCTTGGGGTTGTCCATAGCGTTCAGTCGTAAACATAAAAACTGCGCGTTCTCCGTTGAGCATGCAATGTCCGCAAATTTATGGGCGGTGCTGTCCACCCCTCCCCACACCACGAGCTAAAACTGTCCCCCTTTTTAACGGGGGCACCAGAAGTAGCCCAGAAACAGGAAACACACTTAATCGCTTTTATTATGCTCGGCCTATCCGAACAGGCAAGCACCAAGTCGTCAGCGTACGCGAGGATTTTCACTTCACAGCCATGGAGACGAAGCCCTTGCACCGTGTTGTTGTTCATGATGTTTCTACAAAGTGATTCCAAATATAAGTCGGAGAGGAGCGATGAGAGGGGAGACCCCTGACGTACATAGCGTTGTACCTGAGGGGGCATTGTAAGGGATACGTTAAGTATTAAGTTTTATCGAAATGTTGCTGTAACAAAGTTGTATGTCTTTCCCAGTTTCCTCACCGATTGGAATATACTTCAGAAAAGAGAAAAGGAAACGACGCTTCGCTTGGTTGAAGGCGCTTTGCATGATGAAGTTTGAATATTCCAGCTGCTTTATTGGTTCGTTAACTTATCTATAATATTGACCGCACAATGTGCTTATTTGTTTGAATGGTTCTCCTATGGAGCAAGTTTGGTGGTCACTCACAACCACAGATAAGACACTTTGAATTCGGCCAGCAAGTATTTGGGCAAAATGTTCATACTCACAATATAGGGGACTTATCGGTCGGTATCCTTAAACCTGCTGTAGTTTGTTCGGGCCTTTGATTTGGGGATCAGCGCTATGTGACCTCTTCAGAACAGTGACGGTAAGAAACCAATTTCGTACGACACGTTGAAGACGCTAAAAAAATTTACCATCCGGTCTGGAGCCTTTTGTGTCTTCTTTTCAACAATATTTGTTTAAATTTCCTCAGCATTCAGCTTATTGTTTAGCCTTCTAGTCGTCTTGCTTTCAAGAGTTCGTACTCCATATATATATATTTTTTTTTTCAATCTTAAATGTAAAGCTGTTGGCCCTTGTGAAAATATTTTCCCATAATAGGATACAATGGAGTCTTGGATATCCTGTTGATCGGTTAATTTTGTCACATTTTGCTTTAGGAGTGGGACTAACTTCTTTCTTGCATACTTTCTTTGAACGTGTAGGTATCGTTTAGTAGGTTGTTTTGCTTCGATTACATGCAGCGTTGGTGTTCTAACAGCAGAATCTTCGTAGTGCCTCGAGTCATGCTCTTCAAGATTGTTCTTACTCGTTTTTTTTTTTTTTTTTTTTAGGTCGTTGGCATTCGAGATGGTACAGATATAAAATGTATTTGTTTAAGTGCCGTTCTTATGCCTTTTCGTAAAATCCTGTAATCGCGGATATTTCGATAACTCTCTCTTACTTTAGGCTTGAATATTTTCCCTTTCTGGCACCACCCATATTTCCCCTATCCAAGTTATTTTTATAGTTTATCTACATTTTTTGTTGAACGACATCGTTGTCAAGGAGCCTCTCATATATCTTCGAAACACTATTTTTGCATCAAATTGACCGGACATATTTCAACCTACATTTACCCTAATCATGCAATGGTCAAAAAAAAAAAATATTCCCCCCCCCCCCCCCCCCCCTCGGTCATTTCCCGAATAGTTCCGACGCCTCTGAGCAAGGCTGTTTCATAATTCCTTTTTGAACATAGCGCGAGGGGAATTTCCTTCCCGAGAGTGTAGTGCCTTACAACGATTCAGAACAACCTTTACTGTAATTGCATGTATTTTCGCAGCTTTAGAAAACAGATGTAAGTATGTATAAATGTGTTCATTAATCTTAATACTCCTCTTAAGCTTTTTTTCTTTTTTTTTTTCACTTCTATACGCGTAGAAGAAACTGGGAAAGAGGAAGAGACGAGAGAGAACGTGGACGTTAGAAGGCCGAGCCGTGCTGGCAATGATTAGTGAATAGACCTAAACCTAGCTGCCTTTGTCACCACTGCGCTCGTCGAACGAGTTCGAACGCCAAACGCCGGTGTCCGGCAATGGACGCTCGCGCTCGAATTCGTTCGAACAGCGAGTAGCGACAAAGGAACTATATAGCTTTGCGTCAACCTAACTATTCATTCCAACCAGAGCTCAGTGTTCCGACGTCCCCGTGCACTCTGGTCTCTTCCTCTCCCTCAATTTCTACCCATATACAAATCCTCAACAGGTGAGAACGTCAGGATGTCTCCTTGGAACGCCCGGCCTCCAACACGCGCACGTCGCCTTCCGCCGTGCTTTGGCTGAACGTGCACGCGCTCGAGGCTCAGAAGACGCCGAAGCGTCATCGAAGGCAGCGAGCACGCGCCGGAGGCGTGACAACCGAAACTCCTCCCTGCCGTTTGCATCCTGTCGGTAACAGGAGTACGTGGAACAAAAGTGAGTGTTTGCTCACCTGCCAGGGCCACTCGCCCTTTTCCGCTTCCCGACCGCCCACAATCCGGAAGTCAGGGTCATCGGGAAAACTGCTCACGCCGCATGCTGCACAGGGGGAGGCACATACCTTTCCGGTCAACGGTTCGACTTCTTCTCACCCAGACGTTCGTCCGCCTTCATAATGCTGAGTACATTTCCCCGTTTTTCCCTCGATGGGTATCGCAGTTCGCAACGCATACAACTCCCTATTTACATCCTGGCTTTGTTCGCTTAGCTTCAGACCAGGTCTGCAAAGCTCACATTTAAACGCAGCTGTAAAACGGCAACTAGGATTTGTTTTTGTTTGTTTGGTACCCGCCGAAGCCACTTCTTTAAGATTGTTGTTTTTGGTAATGCAGACTCTGGGCAGAATTTTTGCTAACGTAAATACAAGTTGTTTTCAGCATGTCTTGTTCTTATCTGGCAAAATGAGAAAGGAATTGTAACTGCACCAAATGGTCCTAAATTGTAAAATTATACAATGACGCGGAGGTTCTTATATTTTATTACATTAACGTCTCATCCAAAAAAGGTGGGCAGTGACAATCTGAATGCCATTGGTTTGCGATTTCCGGAACAAAGCGTCCTAGTTGAAGCAACTTAAATAAGGCATGATGCGTCTCAGTAGAGAGCCTACAGCAGCAACCATTCGAAAATATATTTTTTTAAATCATTTATTGGATTGAATCTCTCGGGCACCATCTGTACACTACTGACAAACATTGTTTACGCGAGGTCAAGGTTTTGAAATGAAAATGCGAGTTTAGTATGGTAGACACTTGAGCTACTTCACTTCTCACGTGAATAAATGAAAGAATGTATCAGAGTATCTTGTAATTCAAGCCAGATTGATATGGTTCTAGGATTTCAACCGCCCAATAATTGACAAAAAGTTGGACCTCATTTGTTATTTATAAAAACAAGCTTTTGAGGTGTAAATAATACATTTAAATATTTGTATGATATTTAAAGTTTAAAATATATTACTGGCTACGTACTTTAGGTGCATTTTAATACAGGTTACTGTAAATATCTCTTAGATGCATTTTTGATGTTACTTTTGAAAACCTGCCAGAGAACCTAACGCCACTGGCTCGTGTTCATCTGAATACAATCGTCATCTGCCGAGCACCTTTACACCCGAAAGTATAACAGAAAATAATCTGAAAAATCGGGCAATTCACTGATCAACTTATTGCATTTTTTGTGTGCGTGTGTGAGTGTGTATGTGTTTTTTGTTTGTTTTTGTTATCAATATAAAGCGAATACAATGCAGTCTAGACAGTTTTGAGGATGAGATACAGAAAACAAACTGTAGTTTGGTTATATTTTGCGCATCGGCTGACCAAGCATATAATTTGCATCTGAGTGTGTTTTGTATCATTTAGTATTTATATTTTCCGTATAAAATTAGCGATTGCGTGTCCTCACTTTCTGTCGATAATGTCCTATAGGGGTCACATACGGGACATATGAAAGGATTAAAAATACCCTGACGTCATCAAAAATAATATATCGACCCATTAGAACGAATAAATTATCGGGTTTCGGCGCGACCTTGTTAATGATACCCAAGAGAGAGTTATTTATAAAAACACCAAAGCGTGTACGTAAACTGCGCGGCATCATCGGCACGAACACGGACGGCATCGAAGTTTTTTTAGTTGTTCATAAATGGAAATGACGGAAACCAAATTCTACCACCTCTAGTGTTAGTTCACGCCATGAGCACGTTCAACAAGTACTGTGAGTTTTGATTACAACAGTTTAGATTTAAGCGAGAAAACAAAAGCATAAAACATTGATACCTTGTTTGTGTTAACAGTGTCGCGCTCTGTACCTGTGTGAGTATGCGAGTGCATGTGTGCGCAACTTATAAACAGCGGGAAGGCGTCGGGTGACAAAAAAAAACAGAGTATTAAACGTGCGTGCTCCTTTTTTTTTCTCGTCATATTGTTTATTTTGTCATCGTTTCTCTAAGGCTGCTTTCATTTCTTCAAGGTCTCATGAAGCCACTCACCTTTAAATGTGTTCTCTTTTTCTTTTTCTTTACTTCCAACCATAGCGTTTCCTTTTTGCTTTTCCTTTCAGGCCGAATGTAAACCAAAAAAAAAAAAAATATATGACGCTAGTTCATCAGACTAACAATCTGCCAACCCGAGACAGTGTTCCTTAGTTAGTCGTGTTCTCCCTGTTGCTAAGCCGTTAAATACGGGCGGCTTGGCTCTCGCAATCGGTTGAAAGCGAAACATTGACCGGCGCACGTATTGGGGCGCAGCTCCGAATCTCCTCGGTTCGGATCAGTGTCCGATCTGTTGCGTGCCGAGACGACGTGACGCGTGGACGAAGCTGGTCGTAAACGTGTCTCCCGCCTTCCGCGACATAACGTGTGGCAGGGACGCACGGACATGGTGTAATGTGACCGGGGAGTGGTGCGTTCACCCCGATCCCCTTTCAGGCTTCTCGGTTTGGCACGAGAGACTCAGTCACGCCGGACAAGACCCGAGGAGGGAATGGATGATCGGAAGTATATACTCGACTCACTACAGGCCCGTTTCTCTCGGCCATAGGGCGCTGTATACCTTCCGCAAGACACGACCAGAAAAGACGCGCTGTAGCGACCGCTTTAGTCACTGATCTGGTTAGAACGGCACGGACGTCCTTCAGCTGCCCTGTCTCGTGCGCAAGATTTCTATCCATAACGTTTCGGCGTCTCGCGAGGCTCGAGCATTCCCGCACTACCAAAGCACGGAAGAAGGCGACGAACGCGTGCTGGAGGCCCTGCATTTGAAGGAGACCCCCCGTCGTTCTCATTTTGTCAGTAGCGTCGGCGAGACACGACCCTTTGATGCCGACATAAAGTGGCGCTCTAGTCGCAGATTGCGCAGAATTCCAGGCGTGTGCATACGTTTGTCAGCGCCTCTTCGCGCGTGATAACGGTGCACTAGTAAGTACTCGGAATTTTTTTTTTTTAATCAATAAATGACCAGTCGAACTTGCGCCTTCGTTGTCCTATCAAAACTGAATAATAATTTCATTTTGGCTTTTGTTACCATCGCTTTATTTCAGAAATTTATGTCAAGCATGGATGAGCGTGGTGACTCTCGACCGAAACGCGACGATCTAAGAATATCATTTCTTGCTCACCAAGCTGGCAGGATGGTGAAAGCTCTACATGCTCGTTGGAGGCTGTATAACACGAGAGCGCACGACATTAGGCCGCCGACGGGAGAGTGCGTGACAAGAGAGCGCCACGATAACAGAGCGCATGACAGGAGAGCGCCGCGACATGAGAGCGCGTGTCATTAGAGTGCGTCACGAGAGCGCATATGCATGCCTTGGGAATGATCCATATAGACCTATGGCTAAATTACCCAAGCATCAAGGAGAATGCAGGGAATGGTGTTCCACGCGCCGCACCCGCACGCCTTCCCCGTATAAAAACTTCGGAATAAATAACCAAAATAAAGCGTTGAGGAAAGCGCGTGCAAGATGCCATTTGTTTTGGGCTTTTGCTTTAGAACAGTTACTGCTGCAGGCGCCGGCATGTGCGACGCGTGAAACACCATTCCCTGCATTCCCCTTGACGCTTGGGTAATTTAGCAATAAGTCTATTGGGGTTTCAAACAGATGTTTTGTAGGAACCATGGGGTTCCCTATATCCCTATAGGTCTAGCTTCGAGCAGGCCGTAGAGTCGTCGTCACCAATGGCGGCGGCCTGCCAAATACAAGGAACCGAGGCCGAATTCCCCGAAGGGGCCGGCGCTCCCGTGTCCACTTTGGGTTATTGTGCCACCGGCGCACCCTTGAGAGTTATAATGGACGCGACTGCTAGCGGCCTCCACGGGCGCGTCCATATCTCCGAGGCTACATAAGCCGGCCCCGAGGGAGGGCCGGGGGCTCTCGTCGGCGAAGGCCCTGGGCCTACGGAGCTCGGTTTTTCTTTGTGGGCCTCCGACGTCCCGTGAATCTGTCTATAGACGATTTGCAATTTTCCCAAGCGCCCCGGCCCGCGCGCCAGGAATTGAGAGAGACTGTCCCTCGCCTGGCCATTCTGCCTTGAGATCGCATTGCCCTGTCGCTTCCCTCCTCTTAATCCTCTTTTTTTATTCTATTACTTATTTCATCTATTCCAGTGTATTTTTTATTGCTTCTAAGTGCTCCTATTCTCTTCTGCGCGCGATATTTCTTGTATATATATATATATATATTGTGGGCTCTGCGGCCCATCATGGGGCAAAAGAACCTGTGCTCCGCGCCCGGCGCGCTACGTGCGCGCGAGCCACGCTCGAGTCTCCACACGTATATATATATAAATATATATATATAGTATTTGTGTCTTTATTTCGCCTTTTTCGGCGGGAGTGCCGCACGTATATATATATATATATATATATATATATATATATATATAAAACCGAGAAGAAAAAAACCCTTAGTGAAAACAGCAACAACGGACGATTTAATCTTCGACGTTTCGGCCGGAGTCCGGCCTTCGTCAGGAATATATATATAGTATTTGTGTCTTTATTTCGCCTTTTTCGACGGGAGTGCCGACGGACAACACGCCGCTTCGCGCGTCGTTCCCCCGGTGAGTACTAGCGTTGCTACCAATTCCTATTGCGCTGTTAGCTGTTTGTTTTGGTTCATTTGACCCGCGTGCAGTCGAGAGGAGCCGTTTATGCACAGCCGCGCACATGTCATAGGGGTAGGCAGAGCTCTGATTCAACAATCGCAACGCAAGAGCCGAGTGCGCTGTGATTGGTCAGGAACGTCGGCGTCACGTAGCCGCCGACGTTCCCTTGGTCCAGCAGGCCAGCTTAGAGCCCAAAGATTCAAAGGCAGTGCCATGAAAGGTTTCTCAAATTTTCAGTTGGCAGCTCCTTAATCATGCTGAACTACAAGTTTGATGATCTTAAAAACCTATACTCTTCTTTCGAATAAACCAAAACCAAAATAATATTTCAAGGTCTTCATTTAAACATTTCTGTAGTAAAACATTGAATTCTAAGCGAGGCTCATTTTACACAAGATTCAATAAAAATATTTTAGTCGTTGATAATTCT